ATATAATATAATATAATATAATAATTTGCAATCAGTTTTGCATTGCACAGGGATTTTGTGGTTATCCGCAATACGTTTGTTGCAACTTGTGGCATTTGCGACAAGAAAATTGCAATACTTTTGCCAAAATGACCATGTAATGCAGAACCAATGACTGCGTACTGGTTCATAAAGCAGCATTTTAGCTAATTAAGTAGCAAACTTCAACTGTATCTCCAAACCCAGGTCATTCAAAAGGTCATCTACAACAGGTAAGATATTAAATGTTCATCCCCTTTCCACAGAACCCCTCTTCCTGATAACTTCAGCTATTTTTCCAGGTGTTCATGTCACTCTAAGTGTCCAGACTTTAATTTAAGTGTGAATGCATGAAAGTCTGCTTTACCTGCAGTATTTTGTGCCACACTCTAAGTGATCCCTGCAGCTGGCTCCAACAGGTTTCAGACTGTTCCAGCGCCACAGCAGGGACCGTTTGGTTCTCTGGATCAAGCTGTTCCAGTCCTCAGGAACAGGCAGTGTGTTGACCTGTGAAGACAAACATCGAGTTATTTTTAAGATGCAATATAATCAGAATAAGATTAACTCAAAGAGGTCAAACACATCCTGACAGAGAACTCACCTGAGTGAGACATAGCAGGGACAGAAGGACAGAAAGGAGGACGATTTTGTCTTGAAGTGTCCTCATGTTCTCCACAGCTATCTGAGCCTGCGAGGGATGCTGGTCTGATGGACGGCTCCTCTCACTCCTATTAAAGGCCTTAACTGGGTTTAGGGAGGAGTTAACCTCTAATTCACTCACTGTTTGTTACTTTAAATTGGCAGAACAAGCTCCCCAAGTCAAAGTCAGAGAGGGAAATCTCTTGCAGGAGCGGGACTTATCGGTTTTATAAGAACAACCAAAGTCAAAGTTTATCTCTAGGCATCCAAAGTACAGTTGGATCAGGTAATTTAGGACAACTCCACGTCGAATGTAGTGGAGAACTTAAAGGGACAGTGCGGCTTCTTTTAAGCGGGGGTTAAATGAGGTGTTTGTCCATATGCGCACCGTCAGTTTGATGAGTAATGAGCAATATATTATTGTGAATGAAGTCAGCATTAAAAAAAATATTCAATCAGCCACGTATGCACAGAGAGAACAGCCAAACTCCACACATCAAGGCTTTCTAGTACCACTAAACCACTGTGCAAATCTCTGAAACGATTTGATAAAATAGTTTTAATGTGATTAAATGCCAATTTTTTAAATAGAGGTTTTGAGATGAGGAGAAAAGGTTTAGAGGACAAGTTCAAGTTTTCAGAAAACTTTTTAAAGGGAAAATTCAAAGTGCCTGTCCCATCAATTTTTTGTAATAAATGTGAATAATTTTTTTTGGAAAGGTAACATTAATAACATTGCAAAAATAAAGTTCACATCGCTGAGATGAACAGTTGAGATATTCACAAGGGAAGAAACAGGAAGTGATGACAAAGGGGAATGCTGGAATGTGAACAGAGCGTTGATTTAATGGAGTTTGATGTTTCTTTTGATTATTTTGAGTCACTATCAGCGAGAGATTGAGTTAGAATTTAAATATTTTTTCAAAAAACAAAGACCAGGGCGTTCCCCTTTCACGTCACTTCCTGTTTCACTTTGGCTAAACCAAAGTCAAATAGAAACACGCCATTAATGGGACAAAATGGGTAAAATCATGTCAAGTTTCTTAAACGTAAAGATGTTTTCTTTGACTTTTTGTATTTGAAGAACATGCACTCACAGGCACTTTAAATATAATTACTTAGCTAACATTTTTTAAAACCAGAGGATGAAAAAGGTAAATTGATAAATATTTTGTGTGTGATGCGTGTGTCAAAACTAAACTCTTCCAGGACATATCACCAACAATTTGAGTCAAAATAAATGACGAGATGAAAAGGAAATTGAATTTATTTTGGCATTTTTTTGTTTTGAGTGTCTAAGCAGTGATTATATGTTAGGTACACATTTTAGCCTGAAGTAGTGGTGTAAAATGTATTTTTTTTTACATGTAAACAACATAACAACACAAAAACTGTCAGTTAAGATAAAAACATCATTTGCATGTGCGCAGTGTTGGATGATAAACAATTTAAACAGCTACAGCCCTGCAGGATTAAACCATCAGTATCATACATCTGTTGTGACACTCAAATAAAACTGTTCAAATTTGACAAAATATTAAATTTAAAAAGGAAATCTTACAGCATCCATCAGATCACCAAAACAGACACCATGTAAAAAAAAAACTCCCTTTATCTTACTCGTAATACTGGCTGGTTTGTATTTAAAGTACTTGATCATAACTGGGCCAGGCTCCACAGAAATATATCACTTTAAAACAAGATCATTCATTTTTAATAACTACTTTAGTGCAACAAACTGTCAAATTATTCTGATGATCATGACAATAAGCATTTGTTTCAATGAACGTCATATTTTTGACTATAAAAACAATCACATTAAAACAATATACCAGTGCTTTTAGTTGACACAGAAAGTTAAAAACAAAATCATTCCTTGTTAAAACAATCTCTTACAAAAATCTTTCAACTCAAAGCTGTAGGTCCACTGATTTATAAACACACATTTATACACATTTGAAAATGTGGCAAATTAGCAGAAAATATGACGACTGTCAAAACATTTTAAAGAGTTTTAATTTCGTAAGGGGGTTTAGTCTGTTTTTGCTGTTTAGTGTGGTAAAAAAACAAAATGATTAAAAAAAACTTCAGTTTTATTTTACAAAGACCTACATTTAGTTTGCAGCGTGTAACGAAAACAGTAACTTCAATATGAGCTTTTTGAAAACAGGTTTATGAATTTGCTCCGTTCTCAATAAATATGAGATCAAAAACTGATTAAAAGATGGCCTCTGAGTACAGTGTTTCCTCGTGAGCAGCGTTTTAAATCAGATAAACCCTTTAAAATGTTTTTACAAACACAACGACCCTCCTTACACAGCCTCCTTAGTGTTATGATGTCAGCAGAGGCTCCCGTTCAGCAGCAGTGCTCTGAAAAACAAAAATGACAGAAATTGTGTAAAATATTTTATTAACCATTATGATTTTCCCCAAACCTTTTTTTAAACTGATTTGCACCAGCTTTAAAGACGTCACAATCTGATTAACTTTGTCCGTGTTGTTGTTTTACCTCTGGGACTTTCTGTCGACACATCAGGAGCATGAACAGTCCTCCGAGGATGATGCCGAGGCCGATCAGCATGAAGGGGATGTTCTCGACCACATTCTTCTCAACAACGGTCACATGCAGCTTCTTGGCCGACGCATCGTCAATAAGAACGCTCTGGTGGTGAATTAGGAAATATTATGAAACCTTTTATTTCTTATTGTTTCTTAATGCCAGAACATTGGGATTTTGGAAAATAAATGTTTTATAGAATGTCTGTGATTTTTATTTTTCCACCTCCATCTCTATCTTCCTCTGCTTACTGTAGACAAGTCATGGAGGCAACGGGTCCAAGAGAGAAACCCAGACCTCTCCTTCTCCAGCTCCTCCTGGGATGTGCCTGAACTCTACAGCGAGGCACCCTAATCCTCATCTCATCTCTAGGCTGAGCCCGGCCACCCTGAAGCAGGATCATTTGGGCTGCTTGTATCCGAAGACTTGACTCTTCCTTCACCACGACCAACCGAAGCAACGCCCTCAATACTCCTGCTCTATACTACCATGGCACCCAGATACTTGCACTCCTTCTTCATACAAAATTAAACAAGTGATAGAGTATGTGTCAAACTCAAGGCCCGCGGGCCCAATGTGGCCCACCACAGCCTTTTGTGTGGCCCGCGAGAGCTTCAAAGATGTATTCCTTAAAATAAGTGCATGCTGCTATAAAGTCAGCATTTACCATAAACTACATCTTGTTGAACATTTTACCCACAAAATTATGGCATCCCACCACTAGGTGGAGGTGCACAGAGCTCAAAAGTAGCCGACAGCCGGCGAAATTCATGTCATCTCCATTTGTTTGCATTAATGTGGCCCAGTTGTACCGAGAAGTGAGAATTTCCTTTCCCAGTGGGAAAACTGATTACCCCAGTTCAAATTTCAAGATGGCAGCTACTCACCACAACTTATGAGTGAGTAAAACTCTCTTACTTATACTTTTAACTAGGGATGTCCAATAATATCGGCCTACAGATATTACCGGTCCGATGTTAGCATATAAATGTAAAATCTCTACATATTGGTTTCGGTTTTTCTTCTGAGAACAAAAGCACGATAAATTAACGCCTGGATTTGACCAAAATGTGTTAATAAATGCTTGTGGTCCTGAGATGTTCGCCGGTGTGCGATTGATGACATCATCAATCTGGATTATCTCTTCAGTTGAATGGTTTTTGTTTTGGTGCAGACAATGTTTACCTGTGGAATGCATCCAGTGGGATATCAAAAAGCAGGCATAATGTCCCTGACAGGAGATATGTGATGTCACCTTAATATCGGTTTTTAATATCGGTTAATATTGGAATCGGATATTAAGTGTTGAACAATGTCGGCATTTCGAATATCAGCAAAAAGTCAATATTGAGCATCTCTACTTTTAACCCTATTTCTGTATTATTTATTTCACATTTAGTAAGTCATAGCAACACGTAGTACATTTCAGTGCTAAGAGGATATAGTAAAACTCTGTTTCTATGCAGGAAATACCATGTAGAGCTCTGTTATTGTTTGTTAGCAGTGCTCAGTTGTAGCAATGGACGAGGAACGTAACTTTTCACGTTTAGCTGAAGTTACACATGAAACATTAAAGATAATTACAACTGGCCCTTTGAGGACCACCGGAAAGGGCTCGACAACACGGGGAGCGACAAACTACAGCGATTAACGGCTGTCATCGCAGCCAGGGTGAAACCCGACACACGGGACGCGATAGCGATCACAGCGTTGCGAATCGCGCTCTTTCAAGTCGCTTGTCTTCACGAAATTTGATTGGTTCTTGACTCTGAAGGGGGGTGTGCATGACGGACGTGTAAACTAAACAAATCTTGCGATGCTATTGATATTGAAAAACAAACACACATCAAGATACAGTTTTATGAGGAAAAACTTACCATAAACATCACCCTGGTGCCAATAAATTCCCACAAAGCTGCCTTTTTTAGTAATCCCTTAGTGAAAGTGTTAGCTAACTGCAGTGAGTAGCATACTCTCCTCTCATTGGTCAGTCAATGAAACCCTCGCTGATTGGTTGTACGCTAAGAGACAGCGACAAAAGTTGAACATTTTTCAACTTTCATATGTCGCATCGCAAGCTCGCGTGTGTACGTCTACGAGCGCGAAATTTCACATGCACCATTTTCGCCGGTCGCTTAGCTGGAGGAGGGCAAGCGATTGTCGCCTCACCGCACAGGCTCCATAGGAAATGAATGGAGAGCGAGCGACATCGCCTCCCGTGTGTCGAACCCTTAATGCTCATGTGGTCCTCGGTGACAGAGCACAGTGATGCCATAATTTTGTCAGGGGTTCTTCACTGACCTGGGAATGGCTTGGAGTTTTCCAGGAGGAGCCGGAGAGTGCAGTACAGAGGGATGTTTGTTTCCCTCCACAACTCAACATAAACCAGTATTGAGTGTATGAGTGCAAGAGCTACAACAGAGGTGTAATCTGTGTGTGTGTGTGTGTGTGTGTGTGTGTGTGTGTGTGTGTGTGTGTGTGTGTGTGTGTGTGTGTGTGTG